TTAGACATAAATATATATAATATATTATTATATAAATAATATATGTAATATATTATTATATAAAAAGTTATATATATATTTTTTTCGAGCCATTTCGAGCCGAACACGAGCGAACAAATTGTTGTTCGTGTTCGGCTTGTCTACATTTCAAGCTTAAAAAATAAGTCAAACAGGAATTACTTAACAAGCAGAACACGAGCTGTTCACAAACAAGATGTGGCGAAAAAATTTGAGCGGTGTGTTCGGCTCGTTTACATTTCAAGCTTAAAAAATAAGCCAAACACGAACTACTTAACGAGTAGAACACGAGCTGTTCACGAACAAGATGCGGCGAAAAAATTTGAGCGATTTAAACGTAAAAGATAACATTTAGTTATTTGATAACTGCATAAAATGCTTTGGGACGGCAGATTCGGCGAGGAAAAATTACAATACATTTCACACGGTAAATAATGAAAATTAAAATAACAAAATAAGAAATATCACTGCACCTTCTCCTTCTTCCCCACACCAAGTACCATCCAAATGGAGGACGAAGACCACTTCTCTGCACTTCTTCGCCTCCGTCTTGACTCCTCTCATCTTCCTTATTCTCCCCGTTCCTCTCCTTCCTCTCAACTTCTCATCAACCAAATTCCGATGGCTTCCAAAGCGCTCTTCGTTTTCAAAATCGCTTTCCTATAAAAGAACCACGAATCACATTCCCCGATGCGGTCTGAAACCCTAGATCTCCGAACACTAGACCCTGCTTCGCCACCGTAATCAGATCAAAAAGCTTGAACACTCTCCAAATCATCTAAACCCCTACCTTTCTCTTCCAATGAAGCAGTCTTCTTCTCACCAACCTCCCGCTTCGTCGTCAAAGCCATCTTCAGTTCTCCCCTACAAGACCTCGAATCTTCGCGACCACTACAAGATTGGGCGGAAGCTTGGTCAGGGCCAGTTCGGTACAACTTACCTCTGCGTGGATAAGTCAGATGGTAAGGAGTACGCATGCAAGTCGATTCCAAAGCGGAAGCTGCTCTGCAGAGAGGACTATGAGGACGTTTGGCGTGAGATCCAGATCATGCACCATCTATCGGAGCACCCTAATGTGGTGAGGATCAAGGGAACGTATGAGGACCTGCTTTTTGTGCATTTGGTCATGGAGTTGTGCGCCGGAGGGGAATTGTTCGATAGGATTATACAGAAGGGGCATTACAGCGAGCGGAAAGCGGCGCAGCTCATCAAGACCATCGTTGCGGTCGTCGAGGCTTGCCATTCGTTGGGCGTCATGCATCGGGACCTCAAACCAGAAAATTTTTTGTTCTCGAATGCAGACGAGGATGCGCCGCTCAAGACAACGGATTTTGGCCTCTCAGTATTCTATAAGCCAGGTTCGTGGATGAGCTTTTTGTTTATGAATTCTTTTCTGGTTTGTGGATTCGTGACTGACCATTTGATGGCGTTGTACTCTTTTTGTCTATCTGTTTACTGTTTTTCTATCCAATGAAAATGGTTGAGTGTTTTTGAAGTTCAGAGTTGCATTGAAATTGCCGTGCTACGCGTAGAGGTACAGAATTTGGTATTTATGTGTTAGTGTTTTGCATGGTTTGGTTAAGAATTTCTGCCTCTTACGGCTCATATTAGTCCGGAAATTAGACAAGGAAGATATACATACATACCACTTAATTCCTATGGATTTACATTTTTAACACCTAAAACTTCGATTTTTGAATAACATGCCACCTCACCTATGCATGAAAAAGTTGTTTTTCACTTTTTAATAGTTAAAATAATGATATTTTTGATGCGGTATGAAAAATTTGGTGCTGGCTATGTAAATACATGAGAATTGGGTGATTTGTTTCTAAATGGCCCAAATTTTAAAATATTTATGTCAAACGTTGCTTTAATTTTATTTTGCCTTTCTATAATTTGTATTGAATTAGATTTTGCTTAATTTTTAAAATAATTTCATGAAAAATTGCAGTAGAATAGATGATAACGCCCATATTTACTAATTTGACTGTAATCTATGTTTGCTCTTTATCTGTGAAGATACTTTGGGGCCAGCCAATTAATTGCCTTTCTTTTATCTGCAAAAATTTAGAATTGTTTTTCAGAGCAAGAGATATTCTCCTGCCTTTCCTTTTCTTTACTTGTGTTAAGTTACAAGATATCAAGCTTTCTTATACATTCTCCTGATACCCCTTGTAAGGGCGGGATAACTTCCTTTCAATTTTTTAATGGACAATTTGCATTTTAATGTGATAATATGCTTAAAAAGTCATATTTTTTCTATATCACAATATCTGCTATGAGAGCTTCAACATGTTTGACAAACCTACTCTCGTAGATAGAAGTGTAGCTATGCGATCCAGGTGACCATAACATTATAAATGTGACATGTAGATGTAAGGGACACATTAATACTTTATAAAATAAGAATTTGATAAGGCTAGGATGATTTGGATTGGATGGGTGTGATGACATTCTTTGAAAAGAATTAAGTTCCTTCATTTGATATGGCATTTCAATGTCCGAGGTGCTTGATCACACCTTAGGGACTTGCTCATGTCAAATGGGGCCCTTAAATACACCTATTGGACTTAATTAAATTTGGAATAATTTTGCATTGTATAAATTGTTAAATTGTTTAACTAAAAAAATTTATGAAAATGATACGATTTCAAAGTTTGGTTCTTGCTAAATAGTTTGTTTTGAACTATGTGTCCAATTTATATGCTTAAATAACTGAAATTGTGAACTTGTTCAAGTTTGGAGCATGCATATAGAGTGTTTTTTTTTTTCTACTGATTTTTACACCATCTTCATTGTCATTCATGCTCCTACATCAGTATATACAAATCTTCTGTTTTCTCTATGCAGCCATCCTCATCATCTTCAAATGTTATTCTCTTTAAGATCATGAAGATCTTGAATGTATTTATACTTGATATAATTTTTTCCTTGTGAGCAACATTTCTTGATGCTTCTTATTTTTCCTCATTTTGACATGTGAATTTACCAACACAAAGATTGATACATCTTCATGAAGTATTAGGTCGAATGCATTCTATAAACCACTCATTACTAATATCAATGCCAGGAGGGAGAAACAATTACATTTCACATCTCATGATGAATTTTGAACCTACTATTACTTTGTGTATATTTGATTATTTAATCGTTGATGTGCTGGTTTAAGTTTAATTTTTTCATGGCATGAATTTTTTGAATGAGCTAGAAAATTGTTATAATTTATAAATGATCAAGATATTGTGATTTGTTTTAAATCATAGTAATTATATGATCATATACATTCTAATTACCTTGATAACTATAGTCTCATAGCACAAGTCCCCAAACAACTCTGTTTGGTAGTAAAAAGATCAATCAAATTAACCTAAAAAAAAAAAAAAACTAGAACCATATTCTTAAACATGATTGAGCAATAATAAAAGACAAAATATTCAAGAAATGTCCTATATCCATGGAGCGAGGAGACAGATAAATCCATTATTCATTGTATGGAGGAATATAAACTTAGAGTTAATTTAATAATCTTAAATTCTCTTTTTATGAAACTAAAAAGGAAGCTTGAAGTATATCTCCATAAAAATTGGGTGGAATCTTGATGAAGGGAAGCAAAATAGAGATGGAATTCCTCTAACAAAATCACCAAGAATGAAAAGAATAGTTATAGGTCTAATTAGGCTAATCTAGATTTATATATTTGCCTTCTTGTCCTGCTAGAGCAAGAAACCATACCCCTCCAATTCTCATGTATGAAGTCAGACATCGTAGGATGGCATAATCTTTTTGGTTATGCACGCAATTAAGTTTAAAAGGCAAAGAATCTAAAGATTCAATCATCATTTGTGAATAAATTTCATTGCACATTTAGAATGGATCTTTACATCTGAATGGGATTTCTTAAAATGACTTGTTTTACTAATATTTTTCATATGATACTAACTCAAGAAATACATGATCCATAATTTTGCATGAGTTGAAAGTTGTCATTCACATGTTCAGCTAACTTTGTATATTAGTTGTTTGTTTTAAAAAACCACTTGGTTGTTTCTTTTGGAGTTAGCTCAGGAACTTGGAAAGGTTCCTATGAGGATCATCAACTTCCTTTTTGAACTTTGCATTCTTTCTCCAAAAGTGTTTTTGGAATTTTATAACTTTTTACTATTTATTTCTAAAATTCAATTAGTTTATGTTGGTTCTGCTCCAAGGAATTCTTCAAATTTAGCTTAGGTGGTTGTGTACTTTTTCGTTTGATTTAAGGTTTGTTTGGGGTAGCTGCAACTGTTAAAAAAAGTTGTCGTGAAGCTGTTATTCAAATAGTTGTGGCTATTACAAAAAATAAAAAATAAAAAAAATAAAAATAGAAGGCAAGGCCGTAGGTTGTGTACTTTTTCGTTTGATTTAAGGTTTGTTTAGGGTAGCTGCAACTGTTAAAAAAAGTTGTAGTGAAGATGTTATTCAAATAGTTGTGGCTGTTACAAAAAATAAAAGGCAAGGCCGCTGCCTTCTAGCAGCCATCGCAGGTAGTCAGATATGGTGGGAAAACGGAAGTTTTACCTACAAATTTTTTTAGAATGCATGCAAAAAAAAGTTTTAGCAAATAGGAAAAACTGCGGCGTGGCACCATACCGCCGCCGCGCTGCTCCCCAAATGCACCTTCATTTTCTTAGTTAATTCATTCATCTTATTTTCTTTCTTAAGCGCCCTTCAATGGAATTTCGGAGTTTGTTCTTATTGATTACATATATACCATTAGCATAACAAGAAGTATCTATCACCGTAAAAGTGAGTTAAAAGATATTAAAACCAACAAGTCCTCAATCTCTTTTAATCTATCCCAGTTAAGTGATGAGCCAGCTTCAACAGAATTCTAGTTGATATTTATGAAGGAAATTCTATGATGCGAGCAGCTTAGATTAGCATCATTCAAACCTCTCATTAGATTAGGTCATCCTTACTCATTTTGAGCATCAGTAAGTATCATGATTGACGTGTAGCTTCAAAGATAGATTTAAAATGTCTTCAGAGATTTCTTCTTTAGATAGAAGTTCATCTCTTTTAGATTTCAGTGATTACGGTTTCTTGTATGCTCCCATGGTTTGTTACATCTACAACCCGATAGCTGGGAGTACTTTCAATTAAGGATATTATTACGTTTGTATGACTGCTATGCCTTTGGGATTATGGTGGAATGGATGGGGATGAACTTCCAGAAGTTTTAGTTCATGATTTATTTTTACTTGGGCTTCATTTTGGAGAGCTTATTGATTTCTTTTGTGATAGGAAAATCAACCAATTAAAAGTAAATGCGGTCCGACCTTAAAGGCTTGATATGACCAATTCAATTATCTGAGGAGCAATTTTAGATCCTCTTTCAGAGAGGAATAAATATGGATGGAAATGGATCCAGTTCTTTGAGACTTTTTTAGTACAAAGTCCATATCAGACATTTGACTTGATGATGATTGTACAGGGCCCGTCCCGTATTTTTAGGGAACAATTTGAACCATTAACTTCTGCCCCAACCTTCTTGCAAGACCTTTTGAGTGATTTGATTTTAGTTGTAACAATTTGAACCATTCCTACTGTGTCCACCTCTCCTCAAGGTTTTCCTTTTACCCCCTTTTTTATTATTTTTTTTGTTTCAATAAGATTTTTGTTAGATCTATAGATTTATTTAATATTATATATGTTACTCTGATTCTTGTCAAGTTAAATGTGTTATGTGGTAATATATATTTCGATTTAGTACAAGTTCCATGTGAATTTTTGGGATCATTTCTTCCTTTGTTTCATTTCAGCATCTAGCAAATTTTTTGAAAGTTATTGGGTCAACCACAATATTTTGGTCAAGTTTTTGGATATAATAATTGTATATAATTAATGATAACACTGTTATATAACTCCTTACTTTATTTATGTTCCTTATTTCTATGCACGTCTTAACTAATTTCAACATGATTTTATTTGTAATCTTCAAGAAAGAAATGTTAAACAAATTTTTTGTGTCATTTAACTGCCATTTTTTTTATAAATTGGAGAAGATTTTCGACAAATTGTTCATTATGACATTGGTATTTTCCTGCAGTGATTGTGGTATTTATGATGATGTGGCACTTCCCAAGTATTTTAAATCAAAAAGGGTCCTATAAATTTTGACATTTATTTACTTTAAGCTTTGGAGCTTGCAACTTGAAGCTTTGGAGCTTACAACTCTAATATTGAAGATGCCTAGAGACCAATAGTTACAATCTCAAGTGTAATAGAAGTCCTTATTGCTCTTAATATTCAAGAAGCCCATGAGGTGGACTTAGGACCTCTTTATCAGAGAAAAGGCCTACAATGAGTTTTATAACTTTGCACATGATGTTATGGAACATTGAGTGATTGAGGGAACTCTAATGCTATAATTACCTTATTGAGTGATTGAGGGAACTCTAATGCTATAATTACTTTGATGAAGGATGAAGGATGAAGGTTGAAGGTTGGAGGTTGAGTGGGGTCATTAAGTCTGACGGAATACTTTGTAAATCAGTGAATCACATATAGCCTCTAGAGACTTCAGTAGATTCTCAAAAGGATTGAGATTAGGAGTTCTCTTTATTTTTAGGGCCTCTCTTTCTTGCTGAGCGAAGACAAGTTTATCTTATTTTATTCTCATGTATGGCAGTTAATATGTTACAGGGTAGCATTTAGCAGGTTGCATATTTATTTAGTGATTTTATTTGTTAAATCTATGATTTGATGTTCATCTGTATGATGATCCTTGTCCAAAGCATATAAATTAAGAAAAAAAGAAAGGTGGCAAAATGGTACCCTGATTCTTTGTATGGGCTCATTTTAGAGTCAGAGTCTCTAAAAGTGTTACTTTAGTCCCCGATATTTTTTTAATAGGGGCTAAAATAATCCTCTCTGGGGACTATTTAAACCCATTTCAAAATTTTGGGGACTAATTTGACATTCTTATAAATTATGGGATTAAAATGGATTTTGTAAATAATCAGTGGACTATTTTGACACTTTGCTCATTAATAAAAATTCTGTGAAGCTTAAGACCGTTTTCACATTTTTCATTTTTTTTCTATTTTTTTGCTGGTTTTCTTTACATTTGAAGGCAGTTGTACTGAAAATCTCAAAATTCTCAGCGAGATTTATATCTATTTTTTCTCTTTGTTTGTTTTCATTTGATGGATATTATTTTAATTGAGTTGCAGGTGAAATGCTGTCTGATGTAGTGGGAAGCCCCTACTATGTTGCACCCGAAGTACTACGTAAATGTTATAGTCTAGAAGCAGATGTGTGGAGTGCTGGAGTGATCCTGTATATTTTACTCTGCGGAGTTCCACCTTTTTGGGCAGGTCCCTTAATATTTTCATGGAGCATTTACATACATACCACCCAATTTCTATATATTTGTATATCTAACACCCAAATTTTGTTTTTCATTACCACCCAATTTCTATATATTTATATATCTAACACCCAAATTTTGTTTTTCACTTTTTACCAACGAAATCTTTCATAAAAAAAAAAAAACCACTATTTTAACTTTTAAAAGGTAAAATACTTCTTTTCATGCATAGGTAAGGTGGTATCTATGTAAAATTGAAGTTTAGGTGTTAGTAAATACATAAGAATTCAGTGGTATCTGTGTAAATTTTCATATTCTTATTCCACGTGTTTTAATTGTAGTTTTCTAATTGAACAAGCATCTGATATATCGAGTCCTCTGATAATTTCAGAAACTGAAGCGGGGATCTTCAGGCAGATTTTACAAGGGCATCTGGATTTTGAATCTGAGCCATGGCCCAGCATTTCTGACAGTGCTAAAGACTTGATCCGTAATATGCTCAATCGAGATCCGAAAAAGAGATTTACAGCTCACCAAGTTCTTTGTGAGTAATTTGATCAGCATTCTTCTGCTCTTCTGGAAGTAATAATCGTGTCAATGAGTTTGTTTCAATTTATTATTTTTTGAATGGAAGATTTACTTACAGACCAGTTATTATTTTTTGAATGGAAGATTTACTTACAGACCTAAACTTCTATTTTTACAAACAAACCACCTCTATTTACATATTTAACACCTAAACTTCTATTTTTACGAACAAACCACCTCACCTATGCATGAAGAGTGTATTTCACTTTTTAGAAGTTAAAATGCTGGTATTTTTGACGTGCTATGAAAAATTTGGGTGGAGTAACTGTAAAAGTGAAGCTTAGATGTTAGATACGTAGATACATAGGAATTGGGTGGTATATCTAACTGCCCCTTTTTGAATTTTATGCAAGCTTAACAGTGACATCATTTTGGCTCTTGGTACTTATGCTATGCTAGGTCATCCATGGATTGTTGATGATAGAGTGGCACCCGACAGACCATTAGATTCAGCTGTTTTATCGCGCTTGAAGCAGTTCTCTGCAATGAACAAGCTTAAAAAGATGGCTTTACGTGTAAGAGTTCTCTATTTTATATATTTATTTATTTTTTTTACCTCTTTTCTCATAAAATTTCACTGTTTAGAATGTGTTATGTAGTTACTCTATGAGCGTTTTTTAGATTATGGAGGCACAGACTGATTAATATGGAAATTTAAATTCTCAATTTTTTTCGTTTTTGTTAAGTTTATGGTATTAGTTTCTTTGTCTTAAATGTGAATCCATGGTCTTCCTAATTCAAAGTTGTGATTAAAGTTTTGAGTAGAATTTTTTTATATGATTAAAAATTGTTATCTCATAAAGTTTATACTTTATGAATTTAGAACACCTCATAGTTATTTGACAGATGTGCATGGATAACTCTCCAAATCTTCGACTTTTTTGAAATTAACTTCAAATAAAGAAACTAAAAGTTTTCCTTTCTTACTTGAAACTTGAAATAACTTGTGAGTGTCTTTAGTTCGGTTTAATCATAGGAAAATATAAATATAAATTTTATAAATAAACAATTGGGCCTGTTTAGTTCTATTTTAGGCAGAAAAAAAGAAAAAAAAAAAAGCTAAGTTGAGTGGAAAAAACGAAAAATGTGAAAAGGGAGGTGCGACAAAGTTAGGAAGGATAATTAAAACTGTTATATTAGAGAGAATCTTGAATTGCTATCTTTTTAAAAGGTAGTTCAAACGAAAGTGGCGTGCTCTGGAAGAATAAAAAACTAAACTGCTTTGATATAGATTCAATTAATAGTTATTGGTTATGAATGAAAAGTAAGATCTAAGATGCTTTGTTGGAGAAATCATTCAAACAAATTCGCAAGAAATTAACTTACTAGTTTGGGCAATAATGCTCAACAAGAATGAAAGAGAATTAAGGATTCATAAAGCTAACCTTAAATATTTAGCATTAGCCTAATGTTGATGATGATGAATTGCTTGCATATCTTTATATACATGCTTATATTCTAGTTATGTTTTATGCAGACCTTAATCTATTCAATATCATTAGAGGACTTGATAACACTGGCATTGCTGGGTCCCAATTCTCTGATGTGAAAGGTGGAGGGTTGCGTTAGGTAGTCGACAACTAACATAAAATTTATCGAAAAATCATGCAATGAATTCTTTTGATCATTGTGTAAATGCTAGGGCGTTCTCTGTAAGCTAAGCGCAAGTTTTGAGTAGAATTTTTTTATATGATTAAAAATTGTTATCTCATAAAGTTTATACTTTATGAATTTAGAACACCTCATAGTTATTTGACAGATGTGCATGGATAACTCTCCAAATCTTCGACTTTTTTGAAATTAACTTCAAATAAAGAAACTAAAAGTTTTCCTTTCTTACTTGAAACTTGAAATAACTTGTGAGTGTCTTTAGTTCGGTTTAATCATAGGAAAATATAAATATAAATTTTATAAATAAACAATTGGGCCTGTTTAGTTCTATTTTAGGCAGAAAAAAAGAAAAAAAAAAAAGCTAAGTTGAGTGGAAAAAACGAAAAATGTGAAAAGGGAGGTGCGACAAAGTTAGGAAGGATAATTAAAACTGTTATATTAGAGAGAATCTTGAATTGATATCTTTTTAAAAGGTAGTTCAAACGACAGTGGCGTGCTCTGGAAGAATAAAAAACTAAACTGCTTTGATATAGATTCAATTAATAGTTATTGGTTATGAATGAAAAGTAAGATCTAAGATGCTTTGTTGGAGAAATCATTCAAACAAATTCGCAAGAAATTAACTTACTAGTTTGGGCAATAATGCTCAACAAGAATGAAAGAGAATTAAGGATTCATAAAGCTAACCTTAAATATTTAGCATTAGCCTAATGTTGATGATGATGAATTGCTTGCATATCTTTATATACAAGCTTATATTCTAGTTATGTTTTATGCAGACCTTAATCTATTCAATATCATTAGAGGACTTGATAACACTGGCATTGCTGGGTCCCAATTCTCTGATGTGAAAGGTGGAGGGTTGCGTTAAGTAGTCGACAACTAACGTAAAATTTATCAAAAAATCATGCAATGAATTTTTTTGATCATTGTGTAAATGCTAGGGCGTCCTCTGTAAGCTAAGCGCTGTATAGTTTGGATACAGTGAAAAATGTGTAAGGACCGTTAAACCGATGCCCGTGTGTAGTGTTAAATAAGCAAGAGTTCTCGCATTACAGACGGATGCAGGTAAAAAATTTAGTTCATGAAACTAATATTAGGATAGGATCTTGGAATATAGGTACTCTCAAAATTAAATTAATAGAATTAATTAATATTATGAATCATAGAAAGATAAATAGCTTATGTATTCAGGAAATTAAATGGATTGGAGAAAAAACTAAGGAGATTGATAACTTGAGTTTTAAATTTTGGTATTCAGGTAAAAGTCACACTAGAAATAGTGTAAGTGTAATTATAGATAAGAGTTAGAAAGATAATGTTGTAAAAGTTAATTGAATTGAAGATAAAATTATAGCCCTTAAGATTTATTGTTGATACAAAAATTTTGTAATATTATAAGTACTTATGCTTCTCAAGTAGGTTTAGATATAGACTCTAAATAAAAATTCTGAAATGAATGACCTAAAAGACTTTATACAAATGATACCTCTTGAAGAAACAATTTTTATTAGAGGAGATTTAAATGGACATATCGATAGAGTATTAGAAGGTTTTGTAGAGCCATATTAGATTTTGCTTTAGCGTGTGTTGCTAATACTTAATTCAAGAAAAGAGATGAGCATATTATTAATTATAAAAATGGATCTAATAAAACTCAATTTGATTATTTTCTTCTAAGAAGAAGATATCGTCGAGAATGTAAAGATTGTAAGGTTATTCGAAACGAGGTTTTAAGTACTTAATTTCAATTATTAGTTCTAAATTTTGAGATGATGAGTTGTAAAATAAAGAATATTAGGAATCATTGTCGTAGAATTAGATTGAGGCACCTAAAAGACATAAAATTATTTTTACGAGTAAATTTCAAGATTTTGGATGTCCATGAAGAAACATATTCTGTGTGATAAAGTAACAAAGACTTTTAAATAAGTAGCAAAAGATGTACTCAGATAATCAAAAGAAAAAGTTTTTATAAATAAAAAATAGTCAGTGGTGGGAGAATAATGTTCTAGAAAAGATAAAATATAAGAAGTTATGTTATAGAAATTGGTTTGAATGTAAAAGCTTAGAGAACTGAGAAAAAAATATAAAATAGCTCATAGGGAGTCTAAGAGAACAATCTGTGCTTCTAAAAATTCTGTTATTAGTGATCTTTATAATAGATTATATATTAAAGTGGGTGAAAAATATGTGTATAAACTAGTCAAACAAAGAGAAAAGAAAAATAAAGATTTAATTCAAGTAAAGTGTATTAAATATGAAAATAAAAAAGTGTTTTTCTTAGAAAACGATATTCAACATAGGGGGGTGAATAAATTTAACAAACTTTTTAATGAAGTTTCTGAAAATACAATCGATCTTGGTGATCTTGATATGACTAATAATAATAAAATGTTTCATTTTTGTTGCATTATTAAAAAAGAAGTTGAGGAGGCTTTAGAGAAAATCAATGGTGGAAAGTCTGTAGGACCTGATAGTATCCTAATTGAAGTGTGGAAATAAAGAGGAGATTTGAGAGTTTTTTGGCTCTAAACTCTTTAATATTATTTTAATAACTAAAAAGATGTCTTGAGTAGTGGAGGAAGTCTATTTTGGTTCCCATTTTTAAGAATAAACGGGTTGCACAAGAATGTGCAAATTATAAAGTAATTAATTTTATGTGTCTTAATTTAAAATTATGGGAGAGGGTAATTGAGCATAGGTTAAGATATATTACAAAGATTTCTCATTATCAATTTGGATTCATGTCAGGCAGGTGTGCTATGGAAGCTATACATTTATTGAGAGGTTTGATGGAAAGGTTTGGAGAGAATAAGGAGGATCTACATATGATTTTTATTAATTTAGAAAACGATAAGGTTCCAAGAGATATCCTTGGAGAGTTCTAGAGAAGAAAGTTGTTGATATGACCTATATTCAAGTCATTAAAGATATGTATACTAGACCTGTTGTTTGTGCTCGAACAGAAGGAGGATTGACTAAATATTTTCCTATTTTAGTTGGATTACATCTAGGAGCCCATATCTTTTTGCTTCAGTTATGGATGCTCTTACTGGACATTTACAGAAGGATGTACCTTGGTGTATGCTTTTTGCTGATGATATCCTTCTCGTGGATAAGACCAAAGAAAAAGCTTTGGAAAAACTTAAATTATGGAGGTCTACATTGGAGTCTAAAGGGCTTCATATGAATAAAACTAAAAGTGAATAAATGAAATGTAATTTTAGGAGTAGTAGCTCTTGTGACAGAGATGTAACTATGGGTGATGAAATTATTAAAAGTGTAAACGCTTTAGATATCTCGGGTCTATTGTTCAAAGTAATGGTGATATAGATAGGGATGTTATTAGTAGAATTCAAGTTGGTTGATTGAAGTTGAGGAATGTTTCGGGTCTATTGTGTGATAAAAAAGTACTGCTTGGACTGAAAGGAAAATTTTATAAGATGGTGGTGACACCTGCAATACTCTATGGCGCTGAATGTTGGCCTTTAAAGAGAAGCATAAAACTAAGTTAAGTGTTGCCGAGATAGAATGCTTAGGTGGATGGGTGACTTTACACTTAGAGACGAAATGCGAAATGATTATATTCGTGATAGGCTTGGTGTAGCTCCAGTGGCTAAAAAAATTAGAGAGGGTCGTCTTAGATGGGTTTGTTCACATTAAAAGTCGAGCATCTGATGATTCGATTAGGAGAGTAGATGTTTTAGATTCGACTTATGTTAAGAAAGACAGAGGTAGACCTAGAAAGCCTTGGTTATATTGTATAAAAAATGATTTTAATTTATTAGAATTAAATGAAAATATGACACTCAATAGGATTCAATGGAGAAAATGATTCATGTAGCTGACCTCACTTAGTGGGATAAAGGTCTATTGTTGTTGTTGTTGTTGTATCATTAGAGGACTTGATGCAATTCATCTTAATGTCTATTTTTTGTTTAGGCAAAATTGTCTCTTTGATACAAAATCAGAAAATACTTTGAGTTTGTTTCAAATAATTAATTTAAAGATCATCTAAATCTGAGCTTTTGTAAAAAAATTGAGAATTAATCCATCTACATTGAGCTTTTGGATTCATATCATTGAATAAACGGAAAACTAAAATGTAAAAAGCTTGCCGTTCAAAATCAATCATAGAGTATGTAGATGAAAGCAAAATAAGAATACATAGGTCACGAATTAGTACATCTTGGTCTCACAACAGTACGTGTAAAAAGTATCTCCTAGAAAGTTAAATCTGTTAGAGGTTGTTAAGGCTTGCTTGCATCAAATTAAAAAATTTGCATCCAACCTAACATAGAAGCTTGCCAGGAAATATGAATTTTATTGAACTATGGAATGAAAATCACGTATTTTCAGGTTTATATTTATAATAAAAAAGGGACCGAGCTGAGTGCATAATCAAGTTACTCAAAAGATATGTTCAAACATTATAATCTTCAATTTCAGCGTCTTCAGATTCCATGAAGACTTCAATTTTCAATTCTTGGCAAGAACCAAAGTAAAGAATATGAAAATTGAAAATTGCCACAATATGATAGTTGTAGTCTCTAGAGAACAAATAGCAGTGCACAAGAAAGCTGAATTTGGCGAGAACTGAATTGCAGAACTAAACCAAAACTAATAAGATAATCAAAGTACCACATCACACATCAAAAAAACAACAAGAACTTGAATTTCAGAACTTATAATGTCGACTTGCTCAACCTTTAAATCTTACATATCTGACAAGCATACACTTTCAGATTTTCATCAGAAATAGTGTATTTGCTTTCAGGTTATAGCAGAGCAGTTGTCTGAAGAAGAAATTGGCGGGCTTAGAGAGTTGTTTAAGATGATTGACACAGATAACAGCGGTACAATAACATTTGACGAATTAAAAGATGGCTTGAGAAGAGTGGGCTCTGAACTTACCGAGCATGAAATACAGGCTCTAATGAACGCTGTAAGTAAATAGCTTATTTACTTTTGTAGCACAATATTCAAACAAAATAGCTCATTCACTTTCCAATGTCTTGAATTTTTCACAGGCTGATATCGACAACAGTGGCACCATAGACTATGGTGAATTTCTTGCCGCTACTGTCCACTTGAATAAGTTGGAGAGGGAAGAAAATTTGTTATCCGCATTCGCTTACTTTGATAAAGATAGCAGCGGATATATAACCATTGATGAACTCTCCGAAGCTTGTAGAGAATTTGGACTCAACGATGGCCATCTGGACGAAATGATCAAAGAGATAGATCAAAATAATGTGAGTTTTCATTCTCTCTAATGATTTCCTCGCAAAGTATTAGGAATCGTTTGGGATCACTTTTATTTCATGCTTTTGTTTTTGTTTTTTCATTTGTTTTTAAAAACATCTTCGTTTAGTTTCTTTTTATATTTTTTTATATTTTATTTGTAAAAATAAATTAATATATTTTAAAAACACTCATCGTCAAAAAGAATCATTTTAATCAAATGACCAAACATTTTTTGTTTCAAATAAAAAAATAAACAAAACAAAAACAAAATAAAAATAAAAAAATAATTGGTGCTCCCAAATGGCCCCTTTTTTCTTACTTTTTAATCTTGTCCTTATTTAGGATGGGCAAATAGATTACAGTGAGTTCGTTGCAATGATGAGAAAGGGAAATGGAGCCGTTGGGAGGAGGACGATGACAAGTAGTTTGTGTTTGAATTTGGGTGATGCTCTCAGAGCTGCAGAACAATAATTAATGGCACATTTTTCAAATTTCAATAGGTAAGTATTTGGATGTTATCTTTTTTGAAGTAAATAAGTAAATTTGGGGTTTTTGGCTTCCTGTTCTCGAAGAGAGGTGCATGTTCTTTAATATTGATGGAGATCAGTAGTTTTACATGTTAGCGTAGGCTTAAGGCTGTCAGGGTATGTATAACTTCAATGTTGCAGAATTTTTTCTACTTATCTATTTGCTGAAGTGAGGCCCTCTGCTGATGGGGGGAATGTATCAAATACAATTTAAGTGCACAATGAATGATACATCAGCTTGCTTTTTAGCTCAAACTTTTTTTTTTTATTTGAATTTATGAAAATAATATTTAGCTAAATTGCTCAATTATTCTTTTGATTTAGTTTGCCTTCAATTATACTTCTGCAATGCAATTGTATTGCTCATGGTAGCATGACTTATTGCGCAATGAATCAATCAGATACGTGGTGATGGTAATAAAATGCTTTTGCTTGCTTTGTAGTTTATTGACGATACAACTTATGTGTTTAAATTTATTTAGCCGTGTTTCACTTTGTGCAAATGTAACATTTTACTTGTTTAATATGGAAACTTCAATTTTTTACATATGTGGCCCACCTTATATGCATGAAAAGGTGCTAAATAACATAATTGTTTGAGTTGGTAAAATGCCTACTTATCCCATGAGTTGTATTTTTTATGTGATATGAAAGATTTAGGTTGTGTATTTTTTTTTTTTTTTTTTTTTTGAAAGTTAAAATAGTGGTATTGTTTATGTGATATGAAATATTTAGGTTGTATATAGGGGTGTAAAGCAGCCGAACACAAAAAGTTTGTTCGTGTTCGGCTTGTTTGCTTGGCGAGCCGAACACGAGCCATTCACGAACAAAGAATCGTTTTGACAACCCTACTCACGTAGCCATAAGATGTTAAGGATTAGGGCAAGATTTAAAATATTATTTGAATCTAATTTAATAATTTTTATTCTAATTTCTTCATTAATATTTTTATATGATTATAAATCTTTGTAGTTTTGTAGTCAATTAAAATTTTTAAAAATACTACCCAAGAAATATGTATATATATAATTAATTAATTAATTAGTTGTATTTCGAGCCGAAATGAGCCGAACTCAAAGGAACAAATTTTTATTTGTGTTGTTCGTGTTCGGCTCGTCAACTTAACGAACGAGCCGAACACGAGCTTCTTAATGAGCCAAACACGAGCTGTTTGCTAACAATGATCCTTTTTTACAGCCCTAATATAAATATAGAAATTAAAGTATGTGTTAGATATGTAAATACATTATAAATGGGTGGTATTTATGTAAGTGACCCTTTAAGTCAAGCTACAAAAGCTTGAAGTCCCTGTTTATGGAGGAATTATTGCGTGCGGACACCGCATGCAGAGATGCATGCGGTGTCGATCTTGGCCGTAGATCACAGTGAACTACGGTTAGGATTATTTCCGTTTTTTTTTTAAATTTATGTGGGGTCACCGAAATACATCGGGACCGTAGATCAGATGATTTTCGGTCCGGATCGGACACCGCAGCGTATGGAATAATTTTTCCTGTTTATAATTCTATTGGATTTACGGTCCGGATCGGACACCGCACCGTATGGAATAATTTTTCCTGTTTATGATTCTTTTAGCGATATCTTTTATTTCATATATATATATATATATATATATAT